CACCGGCCCCACCGCAATGACAAAGCCGCATACGGCCGATAGACAGGGGATGTATGGACCGCCCCGCCCCCGCCCCCAGCCCAGCATGCAAAGCAATCCTGATGCATATTTGATGGTCCGAGCCCGTTTGACCGACCCACCGCCCTGTCAAGACATTTCGACCTCAGAGGCATGCGACGTCCCCTCATACGACCCTCTCTGTTCCTACTCACGAGCGGAAGCAAGGAGACGAGCGGGGAGTTCCCGGATTCCAGGCGGGCGCGCCTGTTCCAGGAATAGCCTCGCAATCACAAGACAAGGTCGTCTGCTCCGGTCCCCTTGGTGGTTGTGGTCGGCAAACAGGTTGCCGCCGCCTCGCGTTTGGTTGTGAGACTGTACCGCATGCAGCAGTGCTCCAAAGGCACCCAGCATGGTCACCTTCAGGAGGTCTCGGCGAGACGATGCTGACGATGCGGACGCGCCGTTGATGTTGTTACAGCCGAGCGGCCCGAGGAGAAGGTCAACCGCCGGAGCATGGTGCGCATGGGCATCCGGGTGCTGCACATGGCGCCCGGCATGCCGCACCCGAGCCCCGCGCCGCCCCCGGCGCCCGTGCTCGCGCCCGCGCCGCAGCGGCCGCCGCACGCCGCCGTGGACAAGCCCTTCCTGCTGAGCGACGGCAAGGTGAGTGTGCAAACAACTCTACAACATACTCCAGGAGGCCCGCGCGCACCACAGCACAGCATAGCGTACGCCCCTCCAGGACGTCCCTCGCCTCGCGTCGTCGTGTTGGCTCTGCGAGAGGGCCATACCCCTTGGCCTCTCTCTACAACGGCCCGGGGGCGCCCAGTCTTGAGGTGGCCTACTCTACTCTCGGCCATGGCCACGCCTCACAGATCGCCAACAACCCTACCCTACTCCCCCCCCCCCCTCTCAACCCGCTCGAGAGAGGAAACAGGTGCGGTGGAATGAAAAGAAAACAGGCCGGCCTTCCCGCCGCCCCCGTCCAGCCTGTTTGCATATCAATCATTGAGGCCTTCCGCCCGAGGGGGCCACCGCCGCGGACTCTTTGCAGTCATGTGTGCAACGATTGACGTGGCAATCCTCAGCAAAGAAATGAAACAAAATGTGCCTCTTTTTGAGCAAATTACTATCTGTTATTACAAATTAGTTTTAAGAGGGCAATAAGTGAAAGCTCCAAAGCGCACTTCGATTCTGGTTGATTGCGACTTTAAGATGTGCATTGTGCAATTCTGTGCAATCACGCAATCCGTGTTGAGTTCCTGCCCAGGACCCACCTCGCTCAACCGAGTCACTCTGTCCTGCAGGTGGAGCTGGAGGCGTCCCTCAACAAGGCCGTGTACAACCACGGCGAGACCGTCATGGTCAACGTGGCCGTCCACAACAACAGCAGTCGCAGCGTCCGCCGCATCAAGGTAAGCAGCAGTAGGAGGTCTGCAAGTGAACGCCAGCTCCCCACGGCCTACAAACTAGGCCACCTTATACAACCAAGCATCAGCGGACCCCAACACTCCAACACACTTTGCAGGAAAAAAGGGAGAAAATATAAAAAAGTATGACAAATTTAGCGAGCCGTTCCCTCAAGACACAAGCCATGTTTTAAGGCACCTAGCACCACCAGTCCTGCCCCCCCCCCCCCCCCTGCTTATTTCCCCTGGCGCGCACACACTGACACACACTCACACACACACTCTCACCTTCACACACACATACAAAGCACGGCTACTGCAGCTGAGTCCTCGGGGAGGCAGCCTGCTCGCGCGCGGCGAGCGCAGCAAAAAATTAAAAGAAAAAGATACAGTAGATGCGATATTTTCTTATTTCGCGATAATGAGCAGGAAACCTCGGAGGGAGCAGGTGGCCCCGGCCCGGGACCCCGGGAGTGCCCGGGACCCTGCGCGGTCGGCCAGGAGGCCAAGAGGCCATTAGAGGGCCCCGTGGGAACCACGGCGGCACGACCCCGTCGCGCTCCTGAGCGGCAAACAAGTCCAACTATGATGGCGATAGTTTGATGGCCCGGGGCCGAGAGGGGTCACTCGATAGCAGGTGCCTCCGGCCGGGCACCGCCGCCGGGCCCCGGAGCCCCCCTGGGGCGGGGTGGGAACAGGGGTCGCGGGGCCGCGGGGCCTCGCTTCCCGCTCCCCCCCCCCCCCCCCGGGGTCTGGAGCCACGGTGTAGAGAGATATCTCTCTGCATCATGCTATGAGAGCATAGAGGGGAACCACATGGCAGTATGCGACGACGAGCAGTCCAAGCAAGCGGCTCCAAGATAGAGAAAACCCCTCTCTCCATTATGTGCGGCACCCAGCTCGCCCGCAATCTTTCCTCCGGCACTTTTGAAACGTCTGAAACGTGTCCATGCGATTTATATAAAGCTTTTTCGCCAAAAGCCCATGAGAATAGGGGCACTGCGAGTTGATGAGCAGTGACGGCGACGATCGGCGGCGCCAGGCCGCGGCCTGCGGGCGACACGTCACGCGCTACAGAGGAACCAGAGGAACAGCGGGCTACACGACCGCTGGCACACTATGAGAAACATTTCTGTTAATTTAAAATGGTACTTTTTGTATAGTAATTAGTAGTTTGCAAACGATTTTGTTATTTTGCGTCAGCCTATTCTTCCTTTCGTCGAAGAATATAACAAGTCAATGACCATACGTACTGTAAATTTAGAATTGGTGGAATCGTAATACGTACTACATATTTCATGGATTTTTTCGGTAGAAACTCGAAACTACAAACATCTTTCACAGTGGTATTTAAGAAGAGAGTGAAGGTGAAGGGGAGTAAGGGAGGGAGTGAGGGCGAGCGAGAGAGCGAGAAAACGCAGAACGCAAGTGGAAGAGCGGGGGGTGGGGGGTGGAGGAGGTGGGTTGTTGGGCCGGCGCGG